CCCACCCTCAGCTGCTGTCCGGAGGGACCACTCTCTCCGTGACTCCCTTGTCTGCTCCACACTCCCCTCCAGCCCCACCACACCTGGTACTTGTCCCTGCAACTGCAGGAAGTGCTACACCTGCCCCCATACCTCCTCCCTCACCCCCATCCCAGGCCCCAAGAAGACTTGCCACATCAAGCAGATGTGCACCTGCACATCTGCCAACGTGGTATACTGCATCCGCTGTACCTGGTGTAGAGGAGGCCACATCAGGGAAACCAAGCAGAAGCTCGGGGACCGCTTTGCAGAACACCTACTCTTGGTTCGCAAGAAACAACTGCACCTCCCATTCCTCAGATGACATGGCCGTCCTGGGCCTCGTGCAGTGCCACAATGATGCCACCCGAAGGTTGCAGGAACAGCAACTCCTATTCCGCTTCGGCACCCTGCAGCACAATGGTATCAATGTGGACTTCACAAGCTTCAAAATCTCCCCTCCCACTACCGCATCCCAAAACCAGCCGAGCGCGTCCTGGCCTCCCGAACCTGATCTTCCTCCCACCTATCCCCATCTCCGAGCTACGAACTTCATCCCGCCCCTTTGAACTGTCTGTTTCCTCTCCACCTATCTTGTCTATCCGCCTCCCACTCTCTCCCTATTTATTTCAGAATCCCCTTCCCCTCCCCCATTTCTGATGAAGGGTCTCGGTCCAAAACGGCAGCTTTCCTGCTTGGCCTGCTGTGTTCATCCAGCTCTATACCTTGTTATCTCAGATTCTGCAGCTCCCACGATCTGTCTCATTCACGAGTTTGAATTGTCCCATAGAATTCCCACAGTATGGAAGTAGTCCAATCAGCCCATCCAGTCCACACTGCTGCCCCAACCCCTGTGAAGAGTAACCTATATTCCCCATGGCTAACCCACCTGGCCTGCACATCCCTGGACACAGGAGCAATTTCTCATGGCCAATTCACCCTGAGCTGCACATGTTTGTGCTGCAGGAGAAAACTGAGCACTCAGTGTAAACACAGACACAGGGATAATGTGCAAACACCGCACAGACACAGTCACTGGAACGTGAATTGAACCCATGTGCCTGGTGTTGTGATGCAGCAGTGCTGGCCACTGAGCCACCATAACACCCATGTCCAGAAGCGGGGATACAGCATGCATCTCACTCACTCTCAACACCAAGGTGTCCTTGGTCACACACCCCCATCATGTAATTGGAGCAAACTCAGGACAGTTTATACTAGTGTTCATATTATACAGGGAAATGGTGAAAAGTGATCTCATCAGAAATGGACTTCCCATTTTCAGTGTTGTCTACAAGCCCCTGTAGTCACTGCAAGAAGCAAAACCCAAACAATACCTTCAGAAAAAACACATTCAGGAAGGTATCTTCAGGGTTCAGATTGAAACCCCAGGAATATCAACCTAGATGTGAGGATGCAGAGACAAACGAGCTGCCAGAAAAAAGAGACAAGGAATCACTGCTTTATTGGACTATTCCAACAATAGTTGAGTCTGCTTGTGTTTCTTGTACAGGAACAAGGCCACCAATGAAGCAGAGATCAGGGAGACAGCTGTCACTGTCAGGGCCACCATCACAACCAGCTCAGACTGCACACCTACACAACAAGGAGAAACCAATGGTTACTGAGGGAAACAGGGACAAAGAGGGAAACTAGCAGTCAGACAACTCACCGCCTGGAGACCTCTCCTGCATCCTTTGCTCAACCTCAGTCAGGGGCTCAGTTGCCAGGCTGATCAGCTCAGGATCCAGAATGAGCAGGGGGCCAAGAGAGGCCTCACCCTCCAACTTGAATGCAGCTTCAATCTCTGCAAAAAACATTTCAGTCAGGGTCAGGGAGGGGGTGTTGTAGCCAACACATCTGGAGGATCAATGACCTACCATCTTCAGGTCCAAGGTGTCTCCTTCCTCTGGAGGGAAACAGGATCTCCGTGGTGCTACCACAGTTCCCCACGTGGCAACAGGCACAAATGTCACTGTTCGATTCCTCCAGTGGGGTCCAGCTGAACAGGAGAAACAGCCCATGAACAACACAGTGAAATCAACTCTCCCTCAACAACATCACCGAGGGACAGGGAGACACTTACACCTTGTGCAGCTTCTGGAAAGTACAAGCTTTGTTCCTGGAATCTCCCTGATCCACTGCAGCAACTTTCAGGTGACAGGTGATGAAAATCTGAGGGACACATTCAGCACAAGTTAGTGTTTAGTGACTCCCACCCAATGGGGAAGAGCCAGTCAGCAGCTTCCTCTTACCAAGGAACGCTCATCTCCATAGAAACGGAAGGCATCCAGGTCAAACCTGAGCTTGTCCGGCTCCCGCTCGTCTCTCGGCAACACAAAGGTTGAAAAGGAGTCCTCAGCTTTGCTGTCCAGGAGGCAACTGCAGGTGAACAAAGGGCCA